CCTTGGGTAGCGGGTGAGGCAGTCCAACCTCCCTGAATCCATGTTGTTGTTGTTGTTGTTGTTGTTGTTGTTGTGTGTGTGTGTGTGTGTGTGTGTGTGTGTGTCTCCCTTGGGTAGCGGGTGAGGCAGTCCAACCTCCCTGAATCCTCCCCGAAGAGATGCCATACCCGTTGTTGTTGTTGTTAATGTTGTTGTTGTTGTTGTTGTTGTTGTTGTTGTTGTTGTTTGGGGTTTTCTTGGTAAGTGTTTTACAGCGCTCGCAACTGCATAGGATCATATTAGCGGACAGAAGGTCATTTTTACCATAATCTATCAAAATGCTTCCATCATAACCATCCTGTATAAGTATACTTACGACCTTAGAGCATGCACCAAAATAACATTGAGTGTGTATCTACCTTACGATTATTATTGTTTATATTGCTGCTCTTTTATATTGTGCACGTGATTGTAAGCCTACGTGTGTGTGTGTGTGTGTGTGTGTGTGTGTGTGTGTGTGTGTGTGTATACACGTGGTGAAACACCAAACCAATGTGCCAGGATCTGGACAATAAAGATGTATCTTATCTTATCTTATCTTATCTTATCTTATCTTAAACATTTTCAGTTTGGTAAGAATTAATTTTGGAATTTTGAGCAGGTAACGGCCAAAGCCTACTCTTATCGATTGTGGATCACCAAGGGATCTTTAACGTGCGCAACTTGCCCACAGGACCTCCAAGATTTTTTGGCCCAAGTACGAGAAGGCAGAACAGTTGTTAGATCTTTCCTACCATAAGATCAGGGGTGTGGCTGAAAGACAGCAGTAAGAATGACCCACAGAGAGGCAGTAGAAAAGCTGCAGAAAGAGTCAGGAGCCCAGAGGAGGTGGCAAAAAAAGAGGTGGGGGGAGGAAAAAGTAGAGACGAAAGCAGACGATTGAACATGGTTAGAGAGCAAGAAAGGAGATGAAAAGAGGAAATTTCAGATAATAGGTCCCGGGTTCGAAACCTGACAATGACTACAAATTTTCTTTGTTAAAATGTTCTCCTTTCACCTCCTTTCCTTCTCTCTAACCTTGTTCTGTCGTCTGCCTTCGTCTCCACTT